CACACCCACACACACAGACGCAGACGCAGACGCAGACGCAGACGCAGACGCAGACGCAGACGCAGACGCAGACGCAGACGCAGACGCAGACGCAGACCCAGACACAGACACAGACACAGACACAGACACAGACACAGACACACACACACACACACACACCCCACCCCACCCCACCCCACCCCACCCCACCCCACACCACACCACACCACACCACACCACACCACACCACACCACACCACACCACACCACACCACACCACACCACACCACACCACACCACACACCACACACCACAAAGCACACCACACACCACAAAGCACACCACACACCACAAAGCACACCACACACCACAAAGCACACCACACACCACACACCACACACCACACACCACACACCACACACCACACACACACACCACACACACACACCACACACACACACACCACACACACACACCACACACACACACCACACACACACACCACACACACACACACCACACACACACACACCACACACACACACACCACACACACACACACCACACACACACCACACACACACACACAGACACAGATACTCTTGCATTTGTACCATGGCCAGTAAACAAGCACCGTCGCAGTAGTCTGTTTGCGCGAGTTCAAACAATCTGACTGCAAACTAAATCCTGTTGCCAAAGAGGATTGCACCCACGCATATGACCAGTTGTGCTGTTTCGCCCTGCAAATCTCTGGGAGATGGGCTGGGCAACAGCGCCATGTGGAATTATTTTGGCTTTCCAAGCCAGTTGCGCATTGTTGGACCTAAGCAAGAAGCGGCTGGTTACCGTTATATATTGTTCGCTTTCCATCACTGAAATCATTTGATTCAAAGGCATAGCCAGAGTATTAAAATACTAATTGAACATGGGAATTCTGGCAAATGTGGATTTGGATCCGCAATCACGAAGATTGCAATAGACATTAAACACTGCTGCATAATTTTGCGACCCCGAATGAGCCCCACTGTGGGGCTGAACTGGCTTCAGTTCGACAAGAATTCCAGAGAAAGATACCCATTAGACTCAAGAGAGCCCAAAGAGCAGACGGCAGAGTTCCTCCGATTGCCTTTGGCTCTGAACTTGAAGTCACTAAGTGATTTGAGAGTGGTTGATGTTGGCTGCTTCGCCCGCCTCGCCAGCAAGTCACCCTGCGTACACGCATGTGCCTTTTCCGAATCAGATGCCAGCTGCAATGCAAGTGGAAGTCTACTTGCCGAGCGGGAGGAAATGCTCCGTTGTACTGCCGTCAGAGTCGCATGTCCGCGAACTGAAAGCTGAGGCGCAACGGCAGCTCGGGCGTCGCTTTCTGAGGCTTGCTTTCGAGGGTCAGCAGCTGGATTTGCTGTCTACTTTGAGCGAAGTCGGCGTGCGAGATGGGGACAGCGTTGCTGCCATTGTGCAGCCTGTCAAGCTAGCTTCCGCATTTGAAGCGTTTGCACTTTATGTCCCGGGAGGCACTGTTTTCACTTGGGGCAATCCAGCAAAGGGCGCTGACAGCACCCAGGTGCGAGAACGGTTGGTGGCGGTCCAGCAGATTCAAGCAACTGAAGATGCTTTTGCTGCCATCCTGTACGACGGCTCAGTGGTGACGTGGGGCAATCCTGGCAATGGCGGTGACAGTAGTCGGGTGCAAGAGCAGTTAGTGAGCGTCCAGCAGATCCAAGCAAGCTTGTCTGCATTTGCTGCCATCCTGGACAACGGCTGGGTGGTGACTTGGGGTCATCCGAGGTTTGGCGCGGACAGCAGCCTCGTGCGGGAACAGTTGGTGCATGTTGAGCAGATCCAAGCAACTGAGGATGCTTTTGCTGCCATCCTGGATGACGGGTCTGTGGTAACTTGGGGTGATCCTCACAATGGCGGTGACAGCAGCCAGGTGCGAGAACATCTGGTGAAAGTTCAACAGATTTCATCAACCCGCTCTGCTTTTGCTGCTATCTTGGATGACGGCTCTGTGGTAACTTGGGGTGATCCTCACAATGGCGGTGAAAGCAACCAGGTGCGAGAACAGTTGGTGCGAGTCCAGCAGATCCAAGCAACTTCTGGAGGAGCTTTTGCCGCCATCCTGGACAACGGCTCTGTGGTGACTTGGGGCAATCCTGATACTGGCGGTGACAGTGGCCAGGTGCAAGAACAACTAGTTCGGGTCCAGCAGATTCAAGCAACTGTTTGGAGCTTTGCCGCCATTTTGGAGGACGGCTCTGTGGTAACCTGGGGCGAGCCACGTGCTGGCGGGGACAGCAGCCAGGTGCGGGAACAGTTGGTGCGCGTCCAGCAGATCCAAACAACCGCCGCTGCCTTTGCTGCCATACTGGAGGATGGCTCTGTGGTAACTTGGGGTGATGTTGACTTTGGCGGTGATAGCCGCCAGGTGCAAAAACAGTTGGTGCGTGTGCAGCAGATCTCATCAACACGATGCGCTTTTGCTGCCATCCTGGACAACGGCTCTTTGGTGTCTTGGGGTGATCATGCTGCTGGCGGTGAGAGCAGTCAGATTCAGACTCAGCTTGACTGGGCTTGAGACGGAAATGCGCGCCCTGTCGTTTTTTTGTTCCACAGTATGCAAGCGCATGACCATAGGGCACGTTTTGCCTTACTTTGCTTGAACATAGATGGCTTTGTCCGTCCCCTCACTGCCCACACCATGTGAGTTGAGCGAATTCCCGCTGCTTCAGGATGGATCCCAGGCAAGCCACTGTCGCCTTCAGGTATTGCAGTGGTTGTTTTTGCTGCTAGCCTGCTCTTCAGGCAGAACACTGGCAACTGTGAACTCAACGAATCGTTGCACTCGTTTACTTCAAGCACTCTCTTTGCACTTTTGCACTTTTCAGCAGGAATCCACAGCTGGAATTCGGTAAAACAAACCCTAGACGTCTCGCCCCCGTGGGATGCAATCGGACGGCTCCGACTCACCGATCCCGAGGCGCTGTGATCGGGGGCGAAGTCTTCAACGTTCTGGTCATCATCGGGACCCATTGCAGTTTGTGGGGTTGAATCCGACCGCTTGATTTCATTGCCAGACGGAGCCTTACCTGCTAGCTTTCTGGCATTTTGGCATTCCTTCATTTCCCCTCTCAACCGTCCACGCTCACAATGTGCAGGGTGCCTAAGTATGGCCCGTTAGACTACCCAGCGGGGGGTCAGAAAGTGGTGCCACCGTCAAGATGCGGATTCCCCCAAATGAGGGCTCACAAATTGCAGGGCGTTCACTGAAAAAGATCGGAAGTCACCGCAGGATATCTGAACTATTTCAAGTTGGTTGGACACCTTTTGGCTTCACCTAGCTCCAATTCAGTCAGTGGCGCCCCCCTTGACCTCATTTGGTGGGTGTCCTTCATGGATTTCGGTCTCCCTGAGCCAACTTGAAAAGGGGACCTCAGAAAAACGAGAAACGCACATTGGCCTGTCTTTTTGAGGGTCCCTGTTGCGATGATCATGGAAAGCAGAAGGAAAACCACCATTTTGGAAAGGTCCCCTCAAAATAAAAACACACCCACATGTGAATCAACGCAATGGGCTCGCTTCTCTTCAATCTTTGTCTCAACGGTTGCGAGGACGGCGCTGCTGGCTACTCCCGAGGCACGGTGAACCGGGCGGTTTGGGAGCAACACAGCGAGTCCCAAGAAATAGACATTGAGGCAATCGGTAAGGCAGCGAGTTACCTGGATCACTGGCAAATACTTTCGCCCCGCACAAACAGACTTTGTTTTTTTTCCTTTTCGTTTGCCTTTCTTGCATTTCCATCAGTTTCCTTTCATCCAGCAAACAGTGCACTTTCTGCAGGGGTCTAAGTGTGGTCAAGACCACTGGCTTGAATTAATATGTTCAAACCGTTGTTGCTTTTTTGCGCAACCGGCTTTGAATCGTTGACGCCGTGTGGCGGTGGTCTTGTATTTCATGTCTCAAACATCTTCGCGGCTTCCCTTGTCACGGATCCACGACCCAAGCAGCAGGGCCCTTGGGTTCAAGATGGAGAGGATCCCTTTTCGGGTGGTGAAAGGCAGGGAGGCGAGTCGTGGAGCTCATCCCTTTGCATTCTGTGGCAAGTCTCCCGCGTTTTATCAATCCGAAGTGCTGGCTTCTCGTGGGCGTGTCAATTGTAGGACTTGGGTTCTGTTTGCGTGTGCACGCTTGTTGATGTGTCTTGTTTTCTTTTGATTTTGTGGAGGCAGCCTTTTTGGAAGTATTCATTTTTTTGCCACCACAGGGACATCATCTCAGGGATGTCCCTATGTGGAGACGTGCCTACTTTGTGCGGTGGATGCTAACCTCACCTCCTTCCCCTGTGTGAGTCCAAAGAGACTCCCCAAGAAGGGGTCACCTTTTCCTTGCCGTCGGGACGTTTCGGTTTGGAAACGAAAATGAGCCACTCAGTTGGTTTCGTGGCGTATTCTTGAGATGTCCACCAAGGAAGAACAAGGGGAACTTAAGCCACCAAACAAACAGTTTGCCTGCGTGACCACGGGCAAGTAAAGCTTTGCTACCATTGCATTCATCAATCACAGAGGTGAAACAAGAAGGCGTTAGACAGGCGTTGGACTTGCCTGTTTCTTTTTCCGCAGTTGTGCCTTTTGACCAGCAAGAGTTGGATGCCTTTTGCGGGTCTAAGTCTTGTGTGAGAACAACAGGTATCCACAGTGGCATCCAAAGTGTTGCGGGGGTCGCTCCGGCGCACGAAAGTTGAAAGAAACAAAGGAAAGACCAACTGCTTAGGTGTCTTATGGCTTTCCTTTGCCTGGTTCTGAGCAAGCCACTACGGAAGTGAGTTTCTTAGAGCTCCGTCGGATTTGCGCACATGGATATATGTAATGTGTAGTGCTTGGGCAGGCTTGGTGCGCATGTTCAACTGTGAATGCTAGCTCATGTCATGTGACATCCTGGCTCGAGACTTTCAGAGTACGTCTCTGCCAAAATAGCTTTTTCTTTCGGTGCATCCGTTCTGAGAGTGCATCTCTCTCTGAGCTATGGCGGATGAAGTGGCTGCCTGGCGGGAGGCTAATGGAGCCCAAGCCGACTTGGACTTTGCCTACTACTTCGACTCCTTCCATGAGGCCAGCGCGGAAGCTGGCAGTGCCGTGGCTGGAGCTTGGCGGGCATGCTTCACTCGCGTGTCTCAGGGCCTGCAGGGCATGGTGAGAGACATCGTGGCTAAGGATCCTGCGGCGCATCTGCTGGATCCTATGCCGGCACCACCAGCTCCAAAGCCTACCAGAGCAGCGCCGAAGACTTCACCCATTGTCGCCCTATCCCAGAAGACACAAATCAGACTCCCTGCAAAGCGGCCGAAGCTATCTACTGCCCCAGCCCCGTCGAGCTTGGAGCAGGAGAACGAGCAGTTCAGAGCCACTTTGCTTGACATCCTGCAGGACGCCAGCCGTTTCCGTGTCTTGCGGGCTGATCCAGAGCGGGAGCAGAAGGTCAAGAGCTTCGAGTCGCTGGTCTCCGGATTGCTTGGGGCAACAGAGACACCCACTTTGAAGCGAGTGCAGCTCACGTGGGCAGAGCTCTATCGCCATGTGGAGCTTGGGCAGCTGGGGCATCCGCTGCAACCATGGGATTTGGAGCTGTTTGTGCGGTCCAACTCGGCACCCCAGCGAGTGATGCAGGCATTCTTGTGGATGCAGAGGAATCTTCACCTTGACTGGGACTTTTCCTTGTGCCGAATGAAGAGGAAGCGCCAAGGAAACCGGTACGGCGTCGGTGCCAAGCAGGCGCCAACAGCTGAGATGACCATGTTTGTGGAGCTGGAGAGGGTGCTGCAGTCAGCAGCAGAGCATTCCAGCTCGCGCTGGCTGGCGCTGTTTGGAGCCTGGTGTCAGGTCCTGGGAGCAGTCCGGTACCAGCACTTGCAGCGGTCCATCTTGTGGAAGGTTACCTCGCAGACCTGCTTCTTCATCTGCACCAGAGGTAAGCAGAAGCATTCCAGGGATGGGTTCCACTGGAGTGTGCCATCCCACCTGGTCACCACTGGTTACCCGTTGGGAGAGAAGCTTGCTCAGACCTGGCGCAGGTGGACCACGGATAATAGCAATCACGTTGGGCTAGTGGCACACCCTAGCAACCGGGAGCATGTGAATGCCGCCGCAGCTACAGCCTGCATCCAGAGCATCATGGTGCGGGTGCTGGGCAATGATGCTGGCCGTGTCACTTCCAAGAGTTGGAGGCAATTCGGCATCACCATGGTGGTCCGGGCAGGGTTCTCTACCACCGATCAAGTGGCCTTCGGCAACTGGTTGGATCGAGCGCCTGGAGGTAACACCAGTATCCCCATGCGATACTGTGGCAGCAAGTTGGAGCAGTCCACTTTTCTGCGGCATGTGGTGTGGGCCATGATCAGGAATCTCCAGCATGAAGCCCTGACTTGGAGCCAGATCACCAACACGCAGTTGGAGGCTGCCCGCAACCTAGCCATGGACGATGTGGCCACTTTCCTTGACCGGGTGGCTACCACTTTCATGGAGTTCGAGGCACCCAAGGTGGCAGCAGTGCTGAGGGCAGCACCCTTCAAGCTGATGACCAAGTTCGCCAAAAAGGCGAAGTTGGCCGTTGCTGAGGTGGTGCATCCACCGGGGGAGGTAGTGGATTTGACCGGTAACGGTCCACAACAGGTGGAGCAACCCTCCCAGGTTAGTGGTAGGTTGCCAGTAGCTAGTCAGCCTAGCGTTTCGCATGCCACCCCGAAACCGGCGGTACGGCGACCAGCCATGGAACACACCTTGGATGATGACTACTTCGATAGGCTTGCGGCGCAGCGTTGGCGCAGGCCAGGCCATGCTGATCGGCCAGAGCCGCCTACAGTCATCTGGCGACGAGGACCAGCTGGTCCCCATTTGATTTTGGGCGGTATCCTGACGGCTGAGCAGGCCGAGGAGCTGGAGACCATGAGTGTGGGCTTAGTCATCAACTGCCTTGCACCTCGAGACACTCGGGGAGTCATGCCAGCAGCAGCTGTCAACCAGAGGTTTCCTGTGGGCCGGCAGGAGCGGGGCAAGCATTGGTCGACCATTCGGCGTCAGGTTGGACAAGCCCTTGCAGCACAGGAGAGTGTTTATGTCCATTGTGCTGCTGGAGTTCATCGAGCACCCATTGGAGCTGGCGCCATCCTGTCTTGCATTGAGCAGGTGGAGCCCGAAGAGGCTTTGACCAGGATAGCTCGTGTAAGAAGTGTGGAACCCGAAAAGGCGCTGAAGGACACAGCGATGAGACGATGGCTGTTCGAGGAGGCGGAGCTCACTCCTCTTCCTGGCTTGGTAGTCAAGCTGCCGGTGCAGTTTGTGGCCAGCCAGCGAGCCAAGTCCCTTTTCCATGTGGTTCCCGAGGGCATGAGTGAAGATGAGCCAGTTCCAGCTTGTCGTTGGAGGCGATCGGCAGCAACAGCTCGGAGTTTCGCTGGTGGAAGAGACAAAGTGCATCTCGCTAATTCAGTGCATGAAGCTGCCGCATATGGACTTTCGTTCTGCACCCAATGTGCATGGATGCTGCCGCCGTCCTACCAGCAAACGCTGGAAGACGTAGGAGCAACCTACAAGACTAAGGATAATAGCTGAAGCGGTGTTTTTGACCTAGGTCACGACCAGCACGTCCATGGCAGGGAAAGAAGTTCCATGCAGCAGGGACGGCACTCAGGAGGAGTTGAATAGAGTTACAACCAGCAAGGTCAGAGTAGTGGTCATGCAAGGATCCAGCCACAGCATGTGTCATCTCTGCATGAGATGCGGGACACACGGACGGTTGCCCTGCAGCATGGTAGGGCAGTCAGTTCGTTGAGTTTTCTCTTGCATGGAGTCAGCGGGAGCAGCCAGTAACTAGTGCGGTCATGTTCTCACAGGCACCACAAGGTTCACTCAGGTCGTGTTTTCTCCATCCGTGTTCATTATCACATGCCCATCAGCAGCAGTTTCGAGTAAGATCAAACCTCGATCATCTCAGTTGCAACCATGCCCTCGGCAGCTTCTGTGCCTGCGCCCGATGCCACTGTGAAGCAAGCTTTTGAAGAGCTCCAGAGGCGCTTCGATTATGACCCCAAGGTCACAGAGAAGATTCTGGAGTTGGGAGTTCGCAGCATGAGCGACTTCCGCTTCTACCCGGCAGACGCAGCTGATGCCGCAGCGTCGTTCGTTGAGAGCATCACGGACCTGGAGGGGAAGCGGATTCAGGCAGCACGCCTGAAGGCTGCCTGGAGTGCGGTCTGCAAAGCAGAGCAGGCACGCCATGATGGAGCTGCCCCCGTGGAGTTGGATGAGGAAGAGTTGTTACCTCCTCAGACTTTGCAAGGCATCAAGCAAGCCTTCTTCACCCGGTACAAGATGCACTTTCCAGCTGAGCAGTTCCCAGGAGATCGGCTCATCACTAAGCTCAGCAGGGGCCTGGCCAAGAGCAACCTGGAGGTGTTCCCAATCTTGCAGGTGAAGACGCTGGGAGAGCAGCGAGTCCAGGTGGTCAAGAAGCGCAAGGTGGCGCCGAATTTGTGGTATAGCTCAGGCCAGGACGATGCTGAGGCCGAAAAGAGTGCCTCCAAGTACTTGGACCTGCTGTACACCTACTGTCTGGGCCTTGCCATTGTGGGGGCTGAAAAGCCTGACAATCCCCCCACGGAAGCTGAGACGTTGTCTGCATCCACCCTGGCCTACTGCAAGGTACCATGGGACGTGGTCTACAGGTACCACTTCAGGGCTGCAGATTTCATTGCCAAGCTGGGCGAGCATCATCCCCACCGGCTGCAGGTGTTGGAGAAGCTCGACACTGCTGAGCGCACCATGTGGGCTGCTGAGTTCTCCAAGGGCGGGAAGACTCTGGGAGCAGTCATCAATGAGGCCTACACAACTCGCGATCCGTTGTGGCTTCCGGAAGCCCACATGAGGCCAGCAGAGCCTGCGCGTGCGCCGCCATCCAATCCAGGTGCTCGCTCAAGTGGCAATCAGCTGGCGACGAAGCTGAGAGACGGTAAGTCACTATGTGGGGCTTGGCAGCAAGGCAAGTGCCCACACCAGCAGGAGAAAGCCTGCGTGAACGGGGAGCATCTCTGCGCGCGACCGCTTAAGTCAGGTAGGGTCTGCGGCCATCCAGGTCACACAGGAAACAAGTGTGACCATAAGCAGCGAGCTTTCTGAAGCGAGTCAGTTACTCCAAGACGGAGTGTAGCTGATTCGCACCTGGTTGCATACCAGGAAGAATTGCATGCATTGCAATCCAGCTGGTCAAAAAGTGCAGTTACTGATGACAGCCGCCCAGTTTTTCTGGATGTGTTTTCTGGGCCAAGGTTTTCTCTGGCCAGAGCCTTCAGTTGGTGTGGTTGGAAAGTAATGCAACCCATTGACATTAAGCTGGATAAAGACTTTGATATCAATTCCCCTCCTGTACGCAAAGCGCTAGGAGCCAGACTGTCCGAGTGTCACTTAGTTTCCACCGCGATGGATTGTTCCACCAAGAGTCGGATTAGAGAGATTGCAATCCCTGGCAGGAGAAGTCCAAAGCCGCTGAGGTCAGAGGAGCACCCCCGAGGGCTACTGAACCTAGCCCCAGCAGACGCAGCTAGAGTCCAAGCCGATAACGCTGCCAGTGATTTTGTGCTAGCCATCCAAACCGTCATGCATGAGCACGGTCGGGGGGCATTCCGGGAGAACCCCAGAAGGAGTTATCACTGGAGTGACCCAGTAGAAGAGCATCTTCACTCCCAAGGCTGCTGGGATGACTGGAGTTATGACAACTGCTGTTTAATGGCTACCCGACGAAAGAAGCAACTCATCAGGCACAATCTAGAGGAATATAGTAAGCTGCCAACATTGACATGTGCGCACCACCATCATGAACAAGAATGGCGACCCATCAGAAAGCCAGATGGTATGTACCACCCAAGTTCCGAGGAGTCGGAGTACACCGCAGCCCTCAGCTTCAGTCTGGCCGTGGCAGCAAGCTACTGGGCTGTTCGGCAAGGATTTGCCATCCTGAGGCTGGGCAGCATGCCCAAGATCGAATGTGCTGGGGATAGAGTAGGTTGGTTGGAACTCCCACCAAGTACGTTCAGGGAGGATGCCATGATCCCCACAGCCATCCAATGTGGGTACAGCCCACAACATGGGAAATACAAGCAGTTGCCATCTCGTGTTCAGGTGCTGGACGTTTGGGATAAAGAGCAAGGCCTGCCTGAAGATGTGGTCTATGCAGGCCACGGGCATTTCCGGCACCGGTTGCCCTGCTCACAGTGGTGCAATCCCTTCAAGGTTGGAAGGGATGGTACTCCAGTTGCGGTTCTGTTGATGTTCATTGCCGACATTGAGGAGTTCCTTAGCTCGCATGACTTGCACCAACTCATGGGGAAGCGAATCGCTTGTGATTGCCACGTGGGGCAACCCTGTCATGTTGACGTCCTGATTGCCAAGGCCTTCGAAGCACTCGAACAGCGAAGCCACTCCACAAGAAGGAGCCCCTGGTTGGGACCCATCCGCATGATTAGGGCCACTCCTGTTGCATTCAGCCAAGCCGCAATTGTAGCCGGCATCCAGTCCCAGTTTCCAGATGTTACCTTCTTCGGAGTGTCATGGCCGCCGTTGGAGCATCTTGTAAATGATCCAGTCCTCACCCGCTTTCGTAGCTGGGCCGGACAACAACCAATCGCATCCGATGGCCCACTTGGGCCTGAGATCCTGCAGCATGTCGGAGTGATCGGAGGGCGCGCAGCCCTAGCAGAGCAGTCAGGGGCTGGCCCACAACGGGCTGCGCTTCCACCTGTTGTGCCGTTTGGCCTTTCACCGGAAATGCACTTTCAATGTTGCCTTGAGTTGCATGAGCACAACTTCCCCATGGAAGCACCTCAGGCCACAGACTGGGACTTGCGCTTTGCAGCTGAATGTATGGCAGAAGCCACCATCGGGATGAACGCAGTTCGGACTCAGGCAACCAGAGTGATCAAGCAGCTAGCTCAGCAACTGGATCAAGTGTCGCAATACCTGCGAGCCCAGCAGCATCCAGAAGTCAGGAAGGTTAACCCATCCGTTCATTTAGCACTTATCGCCGTGCTTATCCTGGTCCTGCATTGGCCTGACACCACCTTGTGCAGCAAGTTGTTCAGAGGCTTTGAAGCTATAGGGCATGTTCCAGCATGTGGAATCTGGGGAGCACAGCAAGTTGACTACATTTCGCAAGCAAAGTTGCTGGAAGGCGCTGTTGAGGACGGGCGCCAACTCCTCCAATCCCTGAGGAGCGGACCTGATGATCAGGTCATCCTGGATGCAGGCGCGGCCGATGAAGCCAAACAGTGGTGCACACCAGAAAGACCAGTCACATGCCTTGCCCAGGAAGTCGGTGGTTATCGCCTCATTAAGAGGTTCGTCATCACCCAGAACTCAGGTAAGAAACGAGTCATTGACGACGCAGCAGCTGGAGGACAGTCACGGCTTAGCCAAGACGGCAATCACCTCAAGTTCTGCTCAGCATTGCAGCCCTGTACCCATCTGAAGTGCCTTGAAGAGGCCATGCAGAAGAGGGGCAAGAGCATCCTGCAGCGCGACTATGCAGTCTCGACCATTGGAGAAGATCTCCCGGATGCATACAGGAAGATCCCAATGCTGCCAGCGCACAGCCAACACTGTTTAGTCACCTACTGGCACAAAGAGCGACGCTGTGCAATGTATCGGAGGTACCACAGTATGCTGTTCGGATTACCCTTGGCAGTCTCAGCATTCAACAGAGTTTCCTCTTTCCTTCAGGCAGTTGCCAGAAGGATCCTCTGCATGTTGTGCAGCCTCTACTTTGATGATGCCACAGCACAAGACTTCGATGGCACAGCCCTGGTAGCGCAGCAAAGTTTGGAGCAAGTTGCAGAGGCTGTCGGTTTCCCCTTCTCAGAAGAGAAAAGACAGCCGCCAACCAAGCATGGCGATTTCCTCGGAGTGGTGCACGACTTAGACTTCTCCCACCGGAAGCCGTTCATCAAGCTGTGGATCCGACCAAAGCTTTTAGCCAAAATCCATGACTTGATCAACACATCGTTTCTCCAGCGAAGTTTGGCCCCAGGTATTGCAGCCAAGTTGTTTGGGTGCCTCACTTTTCTGAGTCATGCAGCTTTCGGCAAAGTAGCCCGGTCAGGCCTTGTGGATATCAAGGAGCGGCAGTATGCAAGCACAAGCGAGCTGACGCCAGAACTTGCCAATGCACTTCGCACCGTTCAGCAGCTCTTGCATCTTGAACCCAACAGGCTTGTCCCAGTGTTCCAATCTTTCCCCCTGAGATTGATAGGTGCATCCGATGCAGCACACGAAGGCAGTGGCCTGGGCACTGGTGGATTCCTTTTTGTGAACCCACAAGGCCGCAGGCTGGGCTCAGTCGTTCACATCACGCAGGAGGTACAACAGTTATGGGGCAACCAAGCTGCCATCATCGCTCAATTAGAGTTACTCATGGTATTGCAGGCTGCTTTGCAATATCCCAATGATTTCCGGGGGAGCGCATGCATATGGTTCTGTGATAATATAGCTTCTCTGATGAGTCTGGTCAAAGGACGGTCCGATGTCCATAGCTTAGATCACATGAGTCGGATGATCCACTTGCT